GGGAGTGGGAGGGGGTGTCGTCGGGCAGGGGGGGGAGGGAAACTATTCTAAGTCCCTGTTCCTGAAGGCATTATGGAAGAGAAAAAAAAGGAAAAAAAAAGGAGTTAGGAAAGGAAGGGAACGTGCATTGATTGACGGTCCTCCCTTTTCCCTAATAATAATATTGATTGCATTTGAATTTCTTTTTCAAATGATAGACCGTACCGTACGTAGTATGACGTTCATCATCATCATCATCTCTATTGAGCCGTTTCAAGTGCTCTCTCTCTCTCTCTCTCTCTCTCTCTCTCTCTCTCCCCGAACCGTGCCAGACAGTTGGCTCATCACACACGGCTGTCCAACCTGAGTTTCCCAAAAAGATCATTTCCAACTGAACAATTCATAACAGAAGAATCGTACAAGAAACAACGATTGTCTGAGTTTCATTTGTTTGTTTGAAACTGTGCAAGGAAATATGTTCTCTTTTTAATAAAAAGTTTTTTATCGAGAAAAAAAACCGTTAACAATATTGTTTTTCTTTCTAATCGGAGCTCCGAAAGGAGTCAGACAGGCTCCATTACTTGATGGCATTGACGCTGATATAAAAGACAAAAGAAGAAGAAGACAAAAGCAAAAAACGTTTAAAAATTAAAAAAAAAAACAGATCACTTGCTAGAGTCGCTACATACCTTCTCCCCATCATCATTGGTTGCACATCTGGCACTGTTTTCCACCACAATGGTAGGAACCTGCATGGACAATTTACCCCCAAAAAAAGGAAAAAAAAACAAAGGAGACAACAATATAAAAAAAAAAACACAGAAAAGTGGACATAACAGAGCACAGAATAAAACTGACGGTTAGGCCACAAGCATTACTTCCAGCATAGCCAAGAGCTGCAAAAAAAGAAAAAGAAAAAAGGAAAGAGAGAGAGAGAGAGAGAGAGAGAGAGAGAGAGAGAGAGAGAGAGAAGAAGAAGACAAAAGCAAAAAAAAAGTTAAAAAAAAAAAAGAGGGATTGTTAATATTTTGTTATATCTGGCACCTATGCGGTGAGAGGCCCTACTGCAGTCATAGCTCGATAGTGCGTTGTGGAGAGGTTCGGAATTCACTCTTCTAGGAACTGTATTTTGTAGCAGGTGCAGCTCCCCACGAGTAGATCGGAGCCATGCAATTTACAACAACAACAATAATTAAAAAAAAAAAAAAAAAAGTTAAAAAAAGTTAAAAAAAGTTAAAAAAAGTTAAAAAAAGTTAAAAAAACAGATCACTCTCATGTGCTGTCAATGTATAAAAACCAGGGATCCGCCGATCTATCGGCAGCCACACGGGATCGAACCGGTGATCTCGGGCATAAACAGCCAGATGCCTTACCACTGCAGATGTGTGACCCGGTGTTCAAAACCAGTTGTGACATTTCAGCCCACCCCAGCACGGCACAGTTGCCGCGAGAATCTACGTTGAGCAGGAGACACATCTCATGAGATCTTCTGCAGATACCCTCGCAATGGCCTTCATGCAGCCACCATCACACAGGTGAGCATCCCCTGGTTGGTTATTGCGCTCATACACTGTCAATGTATAATAATAACCAGGGATCCGATCTGGCCCACTTTTAAAGGGAACCAAAAAAAAGGTACCAGGCAGTGGCTGCCCCATTCTGTTGCCATATATCTCATCAGAGGCCTTACTCTTGGCTCCACCGTTCACTCAAGAGTCGAGACAGACACCTTCACAAATGGCCAAGGAGATTATAAAAAGGGGAGGGGGGGAGAGGGGGGGCAGAAATATGGGGACAGGAAACACATGCAAGGACCCTCTGCTATACCCAAACTCTCCTTCCCCCCCTCTCCCAGCCACTCCCCTTCTCCCAAACCCGCACCCACCCCACCTGGACCCTCTGCTATACCCAAACTCTCCTTCCCCCCCATCATCCCTCAGCCGCTCCCCTTCTCCCAAACCCCCACCCACTCCACCTGGTCCCCATTCCAACTGTCATTCATTGGAAGACGACAACAATCTAAAGCATGAGGTGGCCGAGCTCCCCTCGCATACATGTTCAGACTGTACCAGAACGATTCCCGTGCAGCCTGACTCACTCAGCGATTTCCATAATGAAAATTCAAAAAAAAACAAAAGAAAAGAAAATGATACGGTTCCTACTACCTAGGATACCAGCCGGGCCGCCCGGGTCACCCTATTTTCCCGGACGGGCCGGCCGTGCAGGGACCCAACAAGGTATTAGCAAAAAAAAAAAAAAAAAAAAAAAA